TAATTTTCTCTTTATTTTTATCCAATTTACCCTTCATATGACTGGAATCTCTAATAAGGGGCGGAGTGAGGCCATCTACGGTTCTGCAAAGTTAATTTATATTTAGAAATTTATTTAATATGTTTTAAATGATTTATTCAAAATTCAATAAGTTATACACTTTTTTTAGAATTTATAATGTATAACTTAAAATCATAAATTCGTTGTGCTTCAACCTACTCGGATCCCATTTGAAAGGGATATAAGGTGAAATTTTTTGGATAGAAATTATTTATATATAGTATAAGTTGTGTTTGTTTTATACTTTTCAAAAAAAAAAATTCTTCTAAACTTTCAACATTTGTTCAATTTTTCTTCATAAATTCTATTTCTTCAAGTTCTTCAAAAATTTTGAAAATAATTTTCAAAGTTTTTTGAAAAAAGATCAAAACTGAAAAAAAAAATCCATGTAAAAACAAAGGTCAAGTTGCTATTATGGGATTGTAATCATTTGTGAATTGATTATGAGGACCAATAGTTGTACAAACATTTGAAGACTAAGTAGAGATGATTAAAGATAAAAAGTAAAATAAAATTGTGACTATCGATAAAATGCAATTGCATAAATTGACTGCTATCTTTTTCTAGAACTTCAAGAAAGGTCTCATTCATCATAATCGAGGATGCCTTCGTAGACATTGAAATTTTGTGAGACTCTACAAGATGTGTTCAATTCGAGTTGAGAGTCTACAATGTGTGTTCAATTCAAATTAGGATTCTTGAAGGCTACTCAATCCTAAACCTTAGTTCACGCCTATACAAAGAGTATAAAAATCCCTTAAAAGGCATCTCAAATATCCCATAAACTCTTGGGTATTTTTAAAGATCAAGATCTCAAATATTCCGCAAATTCATGGAATATTTATAAAGAGATCAAATCCAAATCATCTTAATTTGAGAAATACGTCACTAACGACCCTCGAATTATAGAAATCAAGTCCAAATCATCCAAGTTCGGGAAATACACCACTAACGACCCTCGAATCATGGATAAATATCTTATGAGAGAAGAATCAAGGGAGGAACAGAATTGTCCCCGCATTATTTATCAATTAAATATTCTTGTTTCTTCATATTTTATTTATGGTTAATTTATTTTCCATATGTTTAAAATTTATTGCAAACAATCTCATTCAAACGAAAGAAATACGGAAAGAGCACATGCTTTTATTTGAAATAAATGCACTAGTGTAGACATATAGTACCTCCCACTAAAGAATCTCAAAAATAAATGTAATGAGCGAAAAATCCTCCTTCCCACCTTGCTAATTATCAAGAACTTTGTTGCCACAATTAGACCATACCTTAGAAAAAATATAGAGTAGTAGTTTTAGAAGACCTTAATAAATGTAGATCGAACCTATCCAATTTTCTAAATACCAAACATACCCCCAATGTCGTTGATGTCAACAAACTTGCTCAACAAGACAATATATAGAAACAAATAAGGACATTATGTGAAAGAAAAAACCAATATAAAACAACATTAGTATCTTTTAGAAGCAACATGCAATTAACATAACAAAACTAATTAAGACGTAAAATCAGTTAGTAATCAACAACCAAAAAAAGACAGACAGAATGACAAGTAAATCAAGGGTGTGTTTGGTACGTAAGAAAATCTTTTCCACACACAAAAATATCTTATTTATTTTAATATATCTGATACGTAAATAAAAAATATTACCTCAATAATTTTGTATCTAGAAAAAAAACCTATGAGTGGATAAACTCATAGATAGACTGTATAAGATAAAGAGTGAGGGAGGTGGATGGTGGGTGGTGAGAGTTGGGAGTGGGAGGTATTAGGGTGGGAAAAGGATAATTAATAATTATAGAATATCACTTATAAAATTTATTTATTTTCCTACTTGAAGAAGTTATTTTAAAAAAAATAATAATAAAAATAAATAAATAAATATATATATATATATATATTCCAATTATTTTTCCTCTGTACCAAACACACCAAGGAGAGAAAAAACTTTAGTTTTAGATGTATAGTTTACTTTTTTTTTAGGTGTAAAAAAATTATATAATAGAGTGTCATATTAAGGTGATTTGCAAGAACATATATCTTTCTATATCAAATTTGAGATAATAATTTTAAGAATTTCATAATAACATATAATAATTATTAATAGTAAGAAGATTTTCTAATATTTAGAAAAATAACTTGGCAAGAAAAAAAACTCTCACCATGTCATTGTGAATTTGAGAAAAAAAGAAAAGTATTGAAATTTAAATTTAATAAGTCATAAAGAGATTTGTAAATCACTTTTGATAACTCATTGATCAGTTTTAAATTTAATTCTTGTGATATCTGATTAAATATATTAATTTTCAAGTAATTGAAATATGTCCTCTAAATCTTTTTGCTTATGATATTCACAAATTTTTAGAAATAATCGTTTTGTCATTTTAATTCTCGATATATTGTTATATGTAATAAGCTTCTTAAGGTTTAAGTATAACATATCCTTTTTTATATAAAGAGATCAAAATACACCAGATTAAATACATTGAATCATATAGTATAAAAGGTAAAAAAGAAATATACTCTCCTTCAAAGATACAAATAGCTAAAAAATTTAATGGATAAAGTACATTACTATATAAGAAGAGTGAATAAGCACACTCTTCATTGGCCTATCACAAAGATGGCCCACCTACTTTTATATACTCCTCTTTCATTATATTTTAATTTTTCCTTTTTAAATAGTACTAAAAAATAAATTTAAAATATTACAAATTCAATTAACTCTCAAAATTTTACGCGAATTGTTAATTAAGACGAAGAGAATAACATATATTACTATATAAGAAGAGTGAATAAGCACACTACTTTTATACACTCCTCTTTCATTATATTTTAATATTTTCCTTTTTAAATAGTACTAAAAAATAAATTTAAAATATTACAAATTCGATTAACTCTCAAAATTTTACGCGAATTGTTAATTAAGACGAAGGGAATAACATATATTATTTGAAAAATTACATTAAGAATACCATAAACCACAATAGTTAACAAATTACAATATTTGAAAAACATATTAACTCTCAAAATTTCACATGTGTCACATAAATTTGGACAAATGGAGTAACATATATTATTTGAAATTACGTTAAGAATATTATTAATCACAACTTAAAGTATTTAAAAATAGATAACATATATTATTTGAAAATAATGTAAAAAATATTATAAATCATAATAATTAACAATTTAACGGATATTGTGCTCGTGCTTGCATTTAGAAGTGAGAATGTTTAGGAGCTTAGGGTCAGTCAGTCAATTGACCGATTTGCCCTTCTTCTTCTTCAACTTCCTCTATTTACTACAAAAATAGTACTAAAAATCAATTTAAAATATTAAAAAATTGGTTAATTCTTGAAATTTCACATGTATTGCATAATATAATAGAGTGAGTAACATATATTATTTGAAAATTATATAAATAGTACTAAAATATAGTTTAAAATAGTACTAAAAATTTGATCAACTCTCGAAATTTCATATGTACTGCGTAATTGAGATTGAGTGAGAAATATATATTATTCGAAAAATAGAATAAATATGTGATATTATTAGAAAGAGCTTTAATATATATTTTAAAAATTATTTTGTCTTCCGTATATGATTTTCTGCATATATGTGGAGTTTTAAAGTTTTTAACATTTTAATATAGAAATATGATTATTTGAAAATTTTAGTACTTTCTTCATTTAAATTTTTCCATGTTTTTCTTTTAATTTGTTCTAGATTTAAAAATTACATAAAAAGTACTTAAAATCACAATGTAATAATATAAGATATTAAAAAAAACATAATTAAAAATCATAAAAGAAATTTTATTGACTCTTTAATTCCATATTGAAACAAATGAAGTTTGTTTGAAAATAACATAAAAAGTACCGTAAATTAAAGTAAAATAACAACTAAAAATATTTAAGAATCATATAAGAAATTTAGTTGAGTTTCATAAAAGTACCTACGTCACATAAAATGGAACAGAAAGAGTAATATATATTATTTGAAAATGATATAAGAAGTGCTATAAATCACAATAAATTAACAACTTCGAAATATATTTAACAAAATCACATACAAAAAATTATATAACTCTCCAAATTTCATCGGTGTCACATAAATTGAAACAAAGAACTACTCCCAATTTATGTTACTTACTTTCCTTTTTAGTCAGTCCCAAAAGAATGTCACATTTCTATATTAAGTAACAATTTGATTATAAAATATTTATTTTACCCTTGATGAAATAATTTACAGTCATACAAACTTATATCATTCATTTTGGACGACAAGTTTTAAAAGTCTTCATTTCTTTTTTAAACTCCGTGGCGAATCAAACTACCTCACATAAAATGAGACGGAGGAAGTAATATATATTGGGCCCGCGCTGGCGCGGGAACCTAATATCTAGTATCCCTATAAAGTTGAAAAAATTTACCATAAAATTCATTGCTAGTCTATCACAAAAATAGCATGCACCTAACAAAGTTTCACAATCCATTGCTACATTAAAGTAGCTATCAATTTTTATTGTTTTGGCAATAGAAAAATCCATCACTAATATAAAATGTAGCATTTTTTGTACACAAACTAAAAAGAAAAAAGATATCCTTAGAGAGTTATTAAATTACTAGAAATCAATGTCAATATTGTAAGCAGGATGATTGATATATCTACACCTTTAATTAGAGATTTTGAATTCTAGCTGATAAAAATGAAAAAACTTTTGTTGAAAATAACTCCTCTTAAAAATAAGCTCTATAATATGTGAATTTAAATTTCATCAAACTTTGATATAGATAATGAACATGAGGTGGGAAAAAAATTTCATATAAATATAACACATACTTCATTTTGACTAAGCACTTTTATCTTGACCAACTAGAAGTATAAATTAACACTTGTTTCCTTTTAGAAAATTTGCCAACTACTCACCAAAAGACTTACAATTCCAAATATTCTCTCTATCTTTTTTTTCCCCTAAAATACCCCTCTCCATGCCTAAACTTTTTTTCTTCATTTTCCATAGCAAAAATGGAATTTGATAGTCCCAAAAAGAACAAAAAACTCAGAAAATATGATTTTCTGAGTTGTTTTGGATTTTCAAATACTGAAACAGAATTACTATCTGTTAATAAATCAGTCAAGAAAAAAAATAAGTCAAAATTGTTGTCTTTTTCTAAAATTTTACGGAAGAACTCGTCGGCGGCGAAAACTATTCCGGTGGACATTTCCGATAAGTTTGATAACCGGAGTAAAGAAATTCATGAGGTCAAGTCGGAGAAAGCTAAAACTCCGGCGATCGCCGGCGACGTGACTCAGGCGCCGGCGGTTAAAAGTCAAAATCAAACAAATATACGTGAGAAGGATATAAAAAAGGTAAGTAAATATTAGTACTAGTAAATTTGATATAATTCTTTTTGTTTTCAATTTAAGTTTGATATTCTTTTTCGCTCGACTAATCGAAATTCATACCTGAAAATCTTATTTTCAATATAAAATATTAATAGACGATTTCATACCCAGAAATCAAACTACTCCACCACAACTTTTGACGATTATATATATACACTTATTGATTGCATATATTTTTGTGAGATATTTTCTTAATATTTTTTATATAATCATTCGTTATTCAAAGTTTACTGACTTGATTAATTCAAATTTGTATAACACTAGATTTATTGAAGTCAAGAATAAAGCTAGAGAGAAAGCTATGAGTTTGTTTTGATCAAAACTTGTATTTGTTTTAAGAAATTACTTAATACATACAAATAATTTTTTCAAACTCAATAAACTTATCTTTTTTCATATTCAAACTCCCTTAAATTAAGAGAGAAGACTTCTTATTCGGATGTTTAGGGTTGGATATTTATAGATATAATTTACAATAAAGAAAAAACTCTTTATTTATAGGAGAAACCTGATTTGGTCTCAAATAGAATTCCTAAATTTTTCTCTGGAGGATCTCTACATAATAGACATTCACTATATATTTATACAAATTCAAAATTATGGTCTAACCTTTAATTTTTTTTCATTCATGAACTAAATTGAAATCTCTAGTTAAGAGTAATAAAGCTTATATCCATTCCAATACAATTTTTGATGATGTATTCTTTGCCATTAACTAAATATTCTATAAGTAGAAGAAACCATACTATAAAAAGGAAGAAAGGAGTTCAATATATCCTTATATAAAGGGTTGTTTGGTATGGGGGAGGTTATCCCACAGATTGAGATATTCTATGAGATTAACTATTTCATTATTGTAGTAGAAATGATAAGATTAATAATCTTGAGATTAACTAGTATCCCTAAATAAATGTAAGAGAAAATAATTATACATTTTATTTCAGAATTATTATCTATTATTTCTGCACCGACAGATTGGGTGGATGTAGGTAATCTACTCCATTTAATAAAATTTCTAGATCATAAAAAAAAGGTGGTATAAAAGTAAAAGAAATTAGATTTACTCCATCTATGTGGAGTTTCTAGGTAACACATTCACAATCTTTTTTCAAATCCATGTTTAGAAATTAGAAAAAAATTCTAAGTGAAATATAGGAAATCTTTAATTTCTTTCTCTTTTGGATGGAATTTATTTGCATTTATAATTTATTTAAGTCGTAAATACAAGTTATACTTAGTTATAAAATATAATAATAATAATAATAATAATAATAATAATACTTCATCAATAATAACAAAATAATAGGAAAAATAACTATTATGCTCCAATTTTCCCCATTTAAAGCCTTGATTTATTTCAAATATTTTTCATTTTATTTGAATTTATGAAATTGAAATTGTGTTTAGTTATATTTTGTTTTCCCTTCTTGCCCTCTATTTATCTTAAATGAATAATATACATGTTTAACATTATTATTTTTACCTCTCTTTTTTTTCAGACAAAGGACCATAAAACAAAGGACATCATTCACAAAAACAACAAAAGTTTGGATAAATTTTTAGACAAGGTACGTGACAATTCAACGTGTCGAAATGAATTTTCAAGAAGTGTTACAATTTCTAGTACACATAATTCGAATCATCTTATAAAAAATCCAACAAAAGACAAACATGAGATCAAATTTTCCCACTCAAAATCTCTTCCGCCACCAAAACGGAAGAATCCGGTCACCGGAAAAAAAGTCAACAACGATGAAAAATCAAGTCAACGACGAGAACGCGTACTAAGTCATGACAATTTTGACTCAATTATGGGAATGTCTATTCTAATGGTGACCCTATTGATAATGTTGTTTTGGGGCAAGGCCTGTGCCATTGTTTGTACGTGTGCATGGTTTTATTTTCTCCCTCGATTTCGAACCAAAAATGAAGCGGTGATCGCCGGAAAAATTGATGGGGTCGCCGGAGACGTTGATCTGAACTCGGCGGAGTACAAGAAGAAGGTGGTGTTGGAAGGATTTTTGGAGAGAAATCATAGGAGTGGTGTTGGATTTTTGTAGGTATTTTTGCTAATGAATTTATTATCTTTTTTTTTTTTGCGGGGGGGGGGGGGGGGGGGCCTCCATGTTGGGTGAACAATTTTCTATTCATTTATTAAAAAAAAAAAGAAGCACTTTTTTTTCATTTGGATTGAATTTTGTGTAAATTTTAGACATATATGGGAGTGTTCAGAAGAGATGGCTATTTGCTATGGAAGTTTGTCTTATTTCAATTTTCCGAAGGGTGTCTGCTTGGACACTTTGAGCATACTGTAGCTTCGCCCTGCATATAGATATAAAAGTTTATCCTCAAATTATTATAAATATTCTAAATTACACAAAAATGTTCAAAGGAAAAAGGGAGGATGTTTCATAATTAATATGAGAAACTGTAAGAAAAATATTCAGTTTTTTCTTTTTCTAACCATAATTACTATATGTAATTTTCTCGCACTACATACTTTAATTAAAAGCTCGAACTAATTAAATGTAAGTTTTAGAATTTAAATTACCTATAAAGATTTTTAAGCTTTATTAATGCACAATGATCAGATATATTTAATGAATTAATTAGTCGTACTTAACAATGTCATTAAAGCCGGCGGCCATCATTTACGAGCCTTTGATATTTTACTATACTATATGGTCTATATATGTGCATGTTTATTTTACAATAAATTGATTGCACAAATTTTATTTATTCATCGCTATTGTTGTTCACGCCTAATATTATCAACCACTATCATCGTCACTCATTATTATTAACTATCATGATTTTTAATTATAATTACCATTGTTAACAATCATTATTATCAGTAGTTTACTATCACTATTCTTCATTTAATTTACAATTACCACGATGTTGAAAATTATTATCATTGATCACTATTATATATAGTCAACCATCATTATTTACCATCAACATTAGCTATATATAATTATCATAAACTACAACTATTAGTCATCACCATCATCACTAACTATTGTATTCTACAATATCATCATTAGTCAACGCCAACAATCATCACGACTTATTATTTTGATACACATTTTACTATATATATATTAATTCAAATATCTTAATCTTAACCAAAATAAACCCTAAATATGTCTAAATAGATATGAATAATACCAACCTCTTACAAAACTTTAATATCATTCAAATGTAATTTACTCAATGATGTCTACTTCGCTATTATTTCATTCACTTCCATGGCCAACTACGCATTTCATCCATCAATATCAAACTATAACTATTGATGCTATTCATTATTATCAATTACCAACATTCACTAGCTATTTTACAACAACTGTCAATTACATTACTAATAAGTAATAACTATTTACATTATCAAACATCATTATCATAATGACGACCATCAATCACTACAAACAATCACCACCATTACCAACCATTGCTATTAGTCGCCACTATTAATTATTAGCATTATCCATCACAATTATTAATTCCGTCATTAGTTATCATTTTCACAACACCGTTAATTGATATGGTCACCACCATCATGGTAGCTAGTTATTACTCACAACCACAACTATTACCATCAACCAACACTATCACTTACCACTATTTCACCACCTTATTCAACATGTAAGGTCTCAAATTTTTTAGCAAATTATTACGTTCTTGTCTAGGCTTAAAGTTGGACAAAAGGGTCGTTTGGTGTAAGGGATAAAAATAAATAGTCATGTGATAAGAAATAGTGATGCGATAAATTTTTTGTGTCTTGTTTGGTTGCCATGTTTGGGATAACTTATCCTACCATTTATACCATAGTAATGGAATAAATTATCCCAAAATAACTAATTTTGGGATAACTTATTCCCCATCAAACGACCCCAAATCTTAGGTAAAGGTTATATGAATGTTTGGAAGATCAAGTGAATAGGTTCACCATAAATATGAAAAATCAATGCAATTTTTCATATTATTGTACAAGTCAACTTAATTTTATCGTCAAAATCTCAAATTAATATATCCCCAAACGAAGTACATGCAGTAATTCTATGATAACAGACATAATAGTATTTTAATTAACCACTCGCTGCTCCTTTTTAGTAATTCTCAAAATATTATATATATGCCAAAATATATAATATTAGTCTACTAGATACTGGGGTAATGCATCATATTTGTTTGAGCTAGGCTAGTTAGGTAGATTCGATTTTGAATTTTATCAGTTTAATTTATCGATTATCGATTTTTGATCGATTTGTAAACATGTTAAATTTGTTATAGAGGTAGATTCAGTTTTAAATTTTATCGGTTCAATTTACCGATTATCGATTTGTGAACATGCTAAATCGTTATAAAACAATTAAGATATCGGTTTAATCATTAAAATTTCACTACAATAATAATAAAAAAGTCACTTATAAACAAAACGACAAACTAAATGAATCATGACATGAGTTGACCGACGACATCTTGCTCAAAAGCTAACAATGACACTTTGTAGAATAACAAAAAAATTGAGACAGTCAGAAATGAAAGTATGAAACTAGACAGAAGTCAAGAACTTGATATACTGATTATCGATTGACCAATTAAAAAAAATTCGCAAGTCTCAAACTGTTATGAACCAATAATTCAATATAAATAATAATCAAAATCATTATCAAAATCACTAAAGTTATAACCTATTATCGATAAACTAATAATTAAAAGTCGATTTAAATTATTAATTTTGATTCGATTTTGAACCGCCCATGTTAATTTACTTATTTTTATCATAATTATGAGCAAATTTAACTCTTTACCCTTAACCCAAAATACAGTTTTTATCCCTTTTTCCCTTCAAACTCACTTTCCTTGTTTCTGCATCCAAGATTCATTCAACAATGCGAACCCAAATCGTTCACAAACTATGGAATCGAAGAATCAATGGAACCCCTTTGAATAGTAAGAGATTTTATGGGTTAATACCAATGGTGATTGAACATTCTTCACGAGGAGAAAGGGCTTATGATATATTTTCAAGGCTTTTGAAGGAGAGAATTATATGTATTAATGGACCAATTAATGATGCTACTTCTCATGTTGTTGTTGCTCAGCTTCTTTTTCTTGAATCTGAGAACCCCTCTAAGCCTATTCACATGTATCTCAATTCTCCTGGTGGCGCCGTTACTGCTGGTTAGTGGTTTTGGAATTGTTGATTTTCTTGATTTGGGGTTGTTAATTTTGGTTTAGTAAGGTTTGTGGTTGTGGAAATGAATTGGGTATTTGGGGATTTTGGATTAGTTTTGCTCTTTGATAAGTTTTTTGATTGTGGAAATGAAATTGGGGTTTAGTTTAAACTGGGAATGAGATTAGATATTCAAGCTCCAGATTTGATTTTTATTTTGTTATTGGTTGTATTTGGGATAAAAAGGATTTAATGTAGTTTCTGTGGAGTTTTAGTTTTTTGCATCTACTATGAGGAAGTAGATGGTTTGCGTGTTCGATCCTCCAAAAGTAGTGCATTTTTGGAGGAATTTTGGACGATCCGACATGGGTGCGGCTGCATTTTTGGAGAGTCTGAGCAACATAGGATTTTAGCTTGAAACTGAAAATGAGAATAGATATTTCATTATCAATATCAAGATTTTTTATCTTGTTTATTGGGATAAGACAATTGAATGTAGTTTTGTAGATTGTCAGTTTTTTGCATCTCCTCAGAGGCAAATAACAATGTTGATGGGCTTATTGCTTCCTTTCTAATCTTAAAAAGGGAGGGGAATAAGAGCTGGATCACTCCTCGGGGAGTTGCTAACCATTGTGCTTTCCTTTGCTTACACCATTTTTTTTTTGTGAATGGTACGGGTTTTTGCTCTTTATCGAGCTACTTCTGATAGCAACCAACTTCAGATTCTCCTTAAGGCGCCGTTTTGAGTAGGGATTTGAGTAGAGGGGCTCAATGTTGCTGGACTCATCTTTACAGAGAGGAGTTAAATGATATAGGGTCTAGGGATTTAGCTTAAACTGAAAACGGGATTATATATTTATCATTCAATCTCAAGATTTGAGTTTTTTTCTTTTGTTGGTTGTTTTTGGGATAAAAACAATTGAATGTAGAGTAATCTCTACAGAGAGAAGTGAAGTGGAATTGGGATTTAGCTTAAAGCTGGAAATTAGAATAGATATTCATCATTCAATCTCAAGATTCGGTTTTTATCTTCTTGTTGTTGGCTGTCTTTGGGATAAGTCAATTGAATGTAGTTTTGTGGAGTGTCAGTTTTTTGCAGCTCCTCAGAGACAAATAACAATGTTGATGGGATTATTGTTTCTTTTCGTATCTTAAAAAGGGGGGAAATAAGAGCAGGATCACTCTTCATGGAGTTGTTAACCATTGCGTCTGCTTACACCATTTTTTTGTGAATGCTACGGCTTTTGCTCTTTGTCGCACTACTTCCGCTAGCAACCAACTTCAGATTCTCCTTAAGGCACCGTTTTGAGTAAGGATTTGGAAAGAGGGGCTCAATGTTGCTGGACTCATCTTTATAGAGAGGAGTGAAATGAAATAGGGATTTAGCTTAAACTGGAAAGGGGATTATATATTTATTATTCAATCGCAAGATTTGAATTTTATGTTGTTGGTTGTCTTTGGGATAAAAACAATTGAATGTAGTTTTCTAGAGTTTTAGTTTTTGCATCTCCTCAGAGGAAAATAATCTTTAAAGAGAGAAGTGAAAGGATGTTGAGTCCCACATTGGTTTATATGGTCTTAGGTAACCTCCCTCATGAGCTAGCTTTTGGGTTTGAGTTAGCCCACGATTATTTCATTATCAATGAAAATGTGATTTGTGAAAAGATTTGATTTTTGAAAAGATTATTTAAATAGCCAAATTGTTCTTTTGAGGACACAAAGCTTCATATAGAACACTTCCGTTTGGGTTGATTAAGGCTTAGATTTAGTTGTTATACTTACATTAGGTCCAGGGCCACTAGTTTTTTTTTTTTTGTATGTTATTGTAGGGATAAGTGTAGGATTTGGAAAATTCCTAATTTGCCTTTGAATAAAGAAATAGTTGGTATAAAATGGTACATTTGTTGAACGGAAAGGATGGTGAGGACTCATATTTCTGACTCCACATTATTTGGGATTGAGGCGTAGTTTATATTCATTATAAATCATCATGCAGAAGAGGGGAGATGGAATTTTGGGCTTTCAGTAAACTGCTCTTATTTATTTAATTTCTTTGGCGTGCAATCTTATCATCATTTATATTATACCCTTTTCGACGATATTTTTCTGTTCGCATTCCTTGGATGTGTAAGTCTCTAACCTTTCCCTTTATGTTTTGTAATCAATTTTTTTTCCTTTTCTAAACAAAGAAAAATCCTTTTCGTTTATCTATCCTATACCACTTTTTTTTTCCTTAAATGATCATGATTTGCTTCAAATTTGCTCTCAAATTTGTTTGAGGTGTTCGAACTGATTTTTATGTGATCAAGATAAAGAAATCTTTTAACTTCATCAAAAAAATAATGAGATCTTTTAAGAGTTATAATTTAGCCTGCATATTTGTGTCTTATTATGCTCTCATAACTCAGGTGAATCAAGAAAGAACAAACGCTTGTTTTGTGTGATTTTGGAAAAAGATACGAACTTTTAATCTTTTTTTTGCAATCTTGACCTTATTTCTCATATGTATAAGGCATACCTGTTGGCACTAAGGTGTAGAATACTGTATGCAATGTTATTTATGGTTTGATTCCAAAGCACGATTGGCATTATGACTGTGAGACTGATTTAGGATATTCAGTGTGCCAAATAATTATTGTAATAATTCTCAGTATACACTATACTCAGTCTAGAGAGCAGATCTTAACTTAATAGTGAACTGTCTTGAGTTTGACTATTGTGACTAGTTTTTTTTTATAATAGTAACTGTGGACTATTATGACTAGTTGGACTAGTTGGTTGGAATACCTTGGCCAAAGATTGCCCCTTTTTGAACAAAAAAAAGCCGCGTCATTGGATAGTAGGAGATGGAAAGCTAGCTGAAGATGCATAGAATGCCCTGTTAGGAAGACCACTTTAAGAAAGTATTTTCAAATTAATGGAACATCTTAGGAGAGATAGGATCAGGAAGATCTAATTCGAACCCCCTTAGGTAACAGCCTCCATTTTAAACCCCCTTATTACCATTAGCAAGAACTTGTTATAGTTGCATATCATAAGTTTTTTTCTTTTGAAACTGAATACGCGTTAGTTGGATATCATAAGTTTATGTTGGAAATGTATAAAGTTGGATTAATTTGGAAACATTGGGTAATTTACTTTATACCTACTATTTCACGTGATCTTTGGTTTCTAGTTTTGTTTTATTAGTAACCATGATTGGGGTTCAACTGGTTTGGGAACATTGTTGGATGCTTTTTGTGCTAATAACGACCTGAAGATTACTTTTTTTTTTTCTACAGTTTGGACTAGTCAATCATATCATATATGCAAAGTTGGTTGATTATATATGTGGTTATAGTTAGACAAATACTTTTATTTTGGTCAGAGTATCGTGCTGATACTTCTATTGTTGTGATTAAAGCTTGAACAAAATGGTCTGGCATTGGGGTTGTATTAGCTTTTAGCTAATATAGAATTCGAGGTTTAGTTGCTTGGCTGGAAAAATTTGCAAGATCATATCTTAACGCTGACTCCCTTTTTCTCCTTTTTTGGCATTGACTAGGTCTTGCGATCTATGATACAATGCAGTATATTCGATCTCCAATTAATACCATATGTCTAGGTCAAGCAGCTTCAATGGGATCCCTTCTCTTAGCTGCTGGCGCGAAGGGTGAGAGACGATCTCTCCCTAATGCTTCAATCATGATTCATCAGCCTTCAGGTGGATATAGCGGGCAGGCTAAGGATTTGACTATCCACACAAAACAGATTGTTCGGGTGTGGGATACTCTGAATGACTTGTATGCAAAGCATACTGGACAACCACTTGACATAATTCAGAAGAATATGGATAGGGATTATTTCATGACACCTGAAGAGGCCAAGGAGTTTGGAATAATCGACGAGGTTATAGATGAAAGACCAATGGCTTTAGTAACTGATGCTATTGCAAATGAAACCAAAGAAAAAGGCTCAAGTTAGAGCGTTACTCCATCGTTGTCTTTGTTAACGTTACCATTGCTGACTAGTTCTCCATTTTTCGATCTACCTTCTTGTATTTTGTTTCGATGAGGTGATTATCTCATTACTTTGTTTTAGTGAGTTTACAAGCTGGAATGATTTAAGGTATTTTTAGATAGAAAGCATATCGATAAACTCTAAATGCTTAAAGGTGATGCTCTGAGCTCAGTTGATCCCTTCAGTAACTTTTTTGGACTAATTTTGGCAGAACAAGTCTTGGATAAATCTGAAAAATTCTTAGCACTTTGCTTGAGTAAGTTTTTTTTTTTGTCCTAAGTTCACTGATTTTCATTTTGTTGTTGTATCATTTATTCTTCTCTTCGAAGGGAGCGTTGGTGCAATTAGTAAAGTTGTTGCCAATGTGATCAGGAGGTCATGAGCTTGAGTTGTGAAAATAGTCTCTTGTAGAAATGCCAACTTGCATATCAACTTCAAGTTTTCAATAATATTTCATATCATCATAATCTTGCTGGATGATATATTTTGTATAACAAGTCGTCACTAATTTGGTATTTTAAAATTTTGAATTTTAATACCTAATTTTTAATCAAATAAGCTCAGATTTGAAACATAAGTTTCATATATTATAAAGATAAACCCCATTCACCAAATCGTCAAAACAAACAAATCTAACAAATTCATTTACCATATTTTTTGCCTTTTCATATATTCACGAGTTTCACTTGTTAGACTTGACTAAAATTCCCGTCATATGTGTTAGAATTTATTATATCATTTTTTTTTTGTATTTTAACAATCAACACATAATTCAACACCCAAATTTACTCCAAATAAATTCAAATTTAAAACATAAATTATAAAAAAACAAACCTTAATTAACAATTTATCAAAACAAAAATAAATCTAACAAATTCATTTAATACCTTTTTTTTCTTTTTATGTATGCCTGTACTTAAAAAAATGACTAAAATTTTAGTTTTATGTTACTTTTATTTCGAAAAGTTATCTAATACTGGATATTTAGTGCAAAATAACAGTGACAAATAATAACCACGTGGCGGCTTTCAATTGGTCGAATCTATTGGATTTACGTAATATACGATTTTATTTTTCTCATTGTCTGCTACGAATATTTAATTCCGATTAAATTTGAATTCCCAACAAAAACTACTCACTAACAAGCCTCTCGGTACATTTTTTTCTTTATACTATATGGTATTAAAACAAATAATTTAGAGAGTATAGAGAAAGCTCAGTGATCAGCAGCAATGGCGAAATTCATTCTCATAGTAGTTTTCATGGTGGTGTTAATTGCAAATTTTGCAAGTAGTGAAGTAGCTGCAAGTAGTGGTGTTGTTGTTGGGTCTAGTAACCCTAAGGAGGAGGGAAATAAATTAGCTATGGTTCAAGAAGAGGAGGATATGGATGGTGGGTTTTCTTCCTTAGATGGAATGTTACAATGGGCTATAGGTACTTTACTTTTTCTCAAATCTCCTTTTTTGAACTTTTGATTTTAAGATGTAATTGTGAAAGATTAAATCAAATATTTTGTTCCTATGTGTCTATGGTAGATAGGAAGGTGGGGAGGACGCGAATTGAAATTATAGGATTATTGTTGTAGTATTGTTATGCTATTGTATGTCGATTGTGTTATTTTTTTTTTAATTGTTTAGTGTACTTTCATTATGTCTTTTAATAAACTGTTTTTGTCTTGAGCTGAATGTCTATAAGAAACAATAGTTGTACCTCACTTTTTGAGTTAGAGGTAAGGTCTGTTAGAGTGTCTGCGTACGCTTTACCCTCCCCAGACCTCACTGTGTTGGACTAAACTGGGGATGTTGTTGGATAGAATTATCAGGTGCTTATGCAGGTGGAAGGCAGAATGGGAGCAAAGATGGCAAGATTTGAACTATATGGAGTTGTTTGGTTTTGGGATACCAGGATTTGAAGTTTATAGGGGTTGTTTTGCTGGCATACCAAGATTTGAACATTTTGGGGTTGTTTGATTTGTGGACTAAGTTATCTTAGGATACCAAGATTTGAACTTTATGGGGTTGTTTGGTTTGCTGACTAAGTTATCCTAGGATACCAGGATTTGAACTTTATGGCGTTGTTTGGTTCATAGACTAGTTTATCCTAGGATACCAAGATTTGAACTTTGTGGGGTTGTTTAATTCATGGAGTAAGTTATCCCGTGATACCAAGTTGGATGGTATAAGGTGTGATATTCGGTACTTATGTTGGTGGAAGGTAGAAGGGGAGCCAAGATTTGAACTTTATGGGGTTGTTTGGTTTGTGTACTAAGTTATCCTAGGATACCAAGATTTGAACTTTATGGGGGTGTTTTGTTTGTGTACTTAGTTATCCTAGGATACCAAGATTTGAACTTTTGGGGTTGTTTGGTTCGCTGATAAGTTATCCTAGGATGCCAAGATTTGAACTTTGTGGGGTTGTTTGGTTCACTGACTAAGTTATCTTAGGATACCAAGATTTGAACTTTATGGGGTTGTTTGATTTGTGGACTAAGTTATCCCGCGATACCAAGTTGGATGGGATAAAGTGTGGTATCCAGGATTTAAGTTTGAAATTAAATTTATACTTTGTTTGGTTGAAGGTATAAATTTAAATTTATACTTTCCCAACCAAACAAATATAAAATTTAATTCCCAGACCCCACTTTTGGGACTATACTGGGTATTATGTTGTTTGTTGTAATCAGACTTATTCCTGGAATATCGACCTTATCCCATGAACTAAATTTCTAGAATAGTGATATTAGGTCTTAGTAACTAGGTTCTGAATCTAACTTTTGTACATATTTCTTGCGTTTCTTAATACAAATAAATACAAGATTTGGACTAAAATTACCCGGGTTAGGATGAACCCGTATGGTACCTTTTGGCTCCGCCCCTGTTGGGAAGCAGTAGGTACCTGTGGAATTTGCTGTCCTGGATGTGTTGTTCTTGGTTCTTTCGAATAAAGAGTCAATTGATGAACCCACTGATTGAGAAAAATTGAAAGATAAGTTTATTATACAATTGGTTTTATGTTTACCCATGTGTAATGATTTGGTTTTGTGCTAAACACATACACAGGGCATTCGGATCCTGGAGTACTAAAAGAAAGATCAGAAGTCGCTCAACGCATGTCTCCGGAGGAACTAAACAAACGCCAGACTGAACTGAAGGTGCGGTTAACGAGCTTGTGATTCTTCCTTTGTGCCTTAATGTTTTTGATAACACCCCCAACTTGCACTGGCATAGGTACATGGTAACTCTGTCCACCAAGGTTTACACAAATGAAAAGAACCAATACCCTTTCTTGCCTAACATCTACATGTATAATGTATTGAAAATAATTGGGAAACTTGAGATATGAAGTATTGAAGGTAGTGTATTGCTGCAAACAGCTGGGTATAGGATTTAGCAAAATGACGGTGTAACTTGTTAGGAAAATGAATAAATGAAGCTTTCAAGTAAAGTTGGTTGGAGCTTCAGAAACAGAATATGCCTCAACTTATCGTTATGCCTCAATTTTTGAGCTAATATTTTAGTATTCAACTTCACTCTGTTGAACATATTCTACTTCTTAATATTCAACTTCACTCTGTGTAACATAGCACGAATGTGCAACTCTAGAAAGCTTGCATGTCCAGCTCCTATTAGATTCACGAGACCATTGTTAGCCTTCTCCTAGTGTAAGAAGGAAATAGCTCTTGGAAGATAAAATAGAAACTTTATTATGAATACATATCTTAAAACTTGGCCTTTGACTAGGCTGATCTCAATAGTCTTCGCATGAAACACTTGCTTATGAACATGTGGTCTAAAGTAGGAAATAGGGAGGGCTTCGGATGAAGCTTTTGGTTCTAGCTAAATTGTAAAGAATTAGAAGAAGATAAATTCAAAATTGTAGATGTAGTGAAGTGTGTGTACGGTTATTTTGGTGAATCTGTTTGATTTTCTTCTTCTATATAAAATGTCCATTGCACTGTTCATGATCCATGTCAGCCTATGATCACTCAATTTTATTTGTCATTGATACATCACATAAGAAGCCACCAATGCTGACCGCCATTTATTTAAATGTTGAAACAAATCCATTACGATGTAAGAAAATGCTTATACATGTAGGGAAAATCCAAGCTCATAGTGTTATATTTAGAACCCAATTAAGGGACTCTAGCATCTAATTTAAGCACGGTTTCTCCTACTATTTGCTTGAATTACCATTTCTTCTCGCATTGCCAGTTTGCATTGGGATAAAGGAGTAGAGGTTTTAAAGTAGTATGAGAAATTATCTTGTTTCTTCCCTGATTCCATCAGTTCATCTAATTACAACCAGGTTTTGGTCTTTAGAATAGAAACTAAAGTAAAATGTAGTTTTGTGCTACTTGTTTGTCTCTAAATTCTACTATGGTTAACATAGTTGACGAAGAATCCAAGAATTTGTTTTCAGACCGATATTTCTGTCTATCTTCCTTGCTTCTTTATAGCTTAGTGGTAGTTTTGGGAGTGGGCACTGATAGGACATAAGTGAGGACATCTCGTCTGTACCTGTGTATCCTTTCTGTTTCACCTTTTTACTTGATTTACTTATCCCCCCAAAAAACGAAAAAAAAAGAAAGAAAAGAAATGAGGAATTATTTAGCCACCTCTTGCAATTGTATATAACGCCAAAGGATCCTTTTTTTTAATATGATTTTTTTCTTCAGTTGGGTTTTCATACATTTATATGTTGTTTCTTCTCCAGGAACTGATGGAGAAGCTAAAAATGCCCTCAGATGCGCAGTTGATGCTGATTGCAGTTAATGATTTAAATAATTCATCCCTACCTCTGGAGCATCATCTCCGTGCCTTAGAGGAGCTGTTGGTACTTGTTGAGCATATTGATAATGCAATTGGTATGTATAGTTCTCAGGACTTTTTTTGTTACAGTCTTACAGATGTTTGTTTTTGCCTCTTTTGGTTTTATAACTTCTAACTTAATATCAACATCAACAACACACCCGGTATAGCCCCACAAGTGGGGTCTGGGGAGGGTGAGGTGTACGCAGACCTTACCCTTACCTTTGTGAGGTAGAGAGACATGACACTTGACTTCATATCAACTGTAGTAATTCATTAGCATCTATAATCCCAATAGACACGCTTCCGAGACCTAATAAGACTATAATCAAGTCTTTAGGAGGCTCGAACTAGAAGAGCATACAGCTGACTTCTTAGGAACTAT